GCATCTTATTGGCTGGTACATCACCGGTACATCACCACCACTGGCTGCAACAAACCAACACAGTGATGAAAATAAAGCCGAACTCAAGGCTTCATTGAAAAAAAAAATTCATTTTAACTCTCAGGAGTTTCACTGCTGCCTCGATGGGTTGACGTCTGGTGTGTTTGGGGTTTTCTTGCAACACATTTAAAGCTGAAGACAGAATTGATTTCCAAAAGATGTACTGATATTGTTTTAATTAGACAGAACTACTGGAAACATTGACATTTCAAATAGTTCTGAACAGCTGACAATAAACTGAATATTTCTCACTTGAGAAGTACGTTGGGACAGGAAATTAGGCTCCTTATTAATCTTTATTTTTACTGCTGACCCTCCTGGCTCACAGATAAAACCGCTTCTTGCCAAATTTTGATTTTAATGACAGCTTTAAATATCACTTTATATCCTGCCAAATAAAAACACTCCTCTGCACACCCCAAACACCAAATGCTGCTTCGGCTTCAGTTTCTTCTTCTTGGATCTTTCTCGCGCTGCCCGTCCTGCGTCAGTACGATGGAGAAACCGATGCCAAGCAGCACCTTCCTCTGACGGGCCAAGAGTCACCAAACACCCCAAAAATCACTCATGAAATCATTTCACACAAACTCCTACGCGCTTCGTTCTGACTAATGTTTTTTAAGGAAATAAAATAGATCAACAAAGTGATTTAAATTCAGGCAACAGATGCTCTTTAGTTTGCAGAATGATGTTGGATAAAGTTTATTTGTCTTTCTCACAACACATCAGCGCTGACCCTGCAGACGCCCTTTAACATTTCTTGGCTTAAAACGTCCTCAGAATAAGTGATGAAATGGACGTGGCTAATTCCTTGAGTCAATCACTGAGAGTCTAATCCCCAGCAGACCGATGGTTGTGTCTGTCGTGTTTTCAACTCAACTCAATCAGATTGGTCCCAATCAGAGTCTGAATGTCATCACTCCGGTGGCGATAAGTGACTGTGACACGGAGCAGAATCAACCAATCACAGCGCGGTACGCTGCCGGCATTCATCCGAACTAGCCAATCAGAAACAACATACAGTTCTTTATGTTTGTGCACGTTAACCTCGTTAATGAGTGATTCACCCTGTGAGTGTGTGTGTGTGTGTGTGTGTGTGTGTGTGTGTGTGTGTGTGAGTGTGTGAGTGTGTGTGTGTGTGTGTATTTGTTGCACCAATAAGAGCTGCTGGATTTCACTGAGATCACGATTGATCTGATCTGAGGTCTGTATCACAAACGTCTGCATTAAACTGAAGCTGGCTCACTTTTAACCGGGATAGCTGTCACCATGGTAACAAACGCTGCGGGGTTACAAAACCAACCCAAGAAGTCGTCACTTGGTCAGACCGTAACCAAGGAGACTGCTGTTTGTGTCCCATATGAAAAGTAAGAGCTGCTAGTTGTGACTCTTACTCCGATATAATTAATCTCATATCCTGCTAATGACATCATAAATAGGCTAGTTGATATACAGTAATAAGACACATTTATTATAATATTCTGAATTATATTCTTTTCTCCTTTTATTTTGAACCCTTGTGCTAATTTTCAATAAAAACATGTAACAATATATATATAAAAACGAGTGTTTCCCACATGTGACTTTACTCGAGCGGCTCATTCAGAGGATCCCAGAGAGAGACAGTAAAGTGTTATCTGGTACTCGGTGCAGGTAAAGCATTCGGTACCACGTTGGTTTCACTTTAGATCGTTTGCACAGACTCATTAACAACAAGCCTCCTCCACATGACGCTCTCCTGCTTTTATGGAATCAAAATCCAAAACAAGATGTTTTTTGTGGGCGACTTTATAAAACAAACAGAGACACAGAGAGAAACAGTAAAATATGAAACAATGGACGTTTCTCTATCGCCAGCATATACTATCATATTACACAGCCCCAGTATGAACCACAGACTAGCCTCTGCTAACAGTGACAGATATATGTTTATACATGTAACGCCTGCATCCTCTGTAACTACGATAAACTGATTTATGAGGGCCTAGCGCCCGGGCACACCCCCACAGGTTTCTGTGAGTATTAAATCTTTTTAAAATCAACGTCTCGATTTTAATAAGAAGTAAACTCACTGTTGGATTTTATTTAGAGCTGCGCAATTAATCGTAATATGGCCAAAAGCAATATGCAAATCACACAAGCTGCCATTCAAACATAGAAAATGATTTTATTTATAATAAAGTTCTGTAGAGCTACAAACCTCGACAGATTTAAGAAAACATGTTTGTTTGATACAGACTCCAAAAAAAGCATCATCATTTAAATTCTGTTTTTCAGAATTTCAGATTTTTATTTCAAAATGTTATTAGTTTATTAATCAGCACAGTATTGATTATCTATCAGTACTGTCATTTATTGATTATCTATCAGTACTGTGTTATTCTGTAGTTGATCTGAGTCTTCTCCCAATTAACAACTATTAATGGGAACGTGTCTCATAATGAGGACGGACGCTGCCACAACTCATCCGTCTTTAACACCAGAGAAGAAAAAGAGAGACAGAGGGGTCTAATTACCCAGAAACCATTGTGACAGAAAGAGAGCACAGAGAGAGAGACAGAGAAAGAGACAGACAGACAGACAGACAGACAGACAAGAGAGCAACAATAAGAGCAGTTTGTAGTCTGTGTTACGTACCCCCCCCCATCCAGCCGCTGTAGTGGATCCATTAGCGGACTCTGTCGGACTGGGAGCTCCCAGTGAACAGCGGGTCCAGACCGGGACTGAATGCAGCATCTGATGCTGACGGAGGACAGTTTGACTGCAGCGAATAAAGGACTGAGGGGGTTTTATTGCCGGGTTTGGCTCCTGACACCCTGAAGTTGAGTCAGCCAACATCAGCTGCACAAGCTAACTAGCTAACGGGATCACCTCGGTACCGCTGTCGTCAAACTGTCCTCTGTCTGTCTCTGAGGTTGTGTTCACTGGGAGGCTGCAGAGCCCCGTTCAGTTGCACGCTAATGGTAGCTACATTAGCAGTCGAGTCGAGGTGGAGCTCCATAAAATATGATCCAGTTTCACCCAAATCACTGATGTGTTGAGTGATAATAAAGTTGTATTTTCGTACATTTGATACTCTCATATTGTATTTTTACATCACAGTCTGTATTTATGCGGCACCTGATCACAGAGGAAACTGAACCTGTTCTCAGAATCTACAAACGACAGAAACATCATCTCTCTCTGATATTAATTTCTGCTCTCGCGCTGCAGCGTCTCGGCTGTCGCTCCAATAAAACACACAAACTGAACCGACAAAGAGACGCAGACAGGAACAGAGAGATTCAGAGGAGAAAATAAAAGTGTGGTGAGGAGGCAGATATCAAAGGCGCTCCCGGCGGGCGTCTGATGAGCTGATGTAAAAATAGGCAGCGGGTCGGCAGCGGGACGAGGAGACGCTGCTCCCGTCAAACTCCTTTCTGTGAAAGTACAAACGGTGCCGACACTCAGTTTCATTATCGTCTCTGTTTCGGGGACTGAACCGCCACTTCCTGTCTGCCCCGAGGGGACCGGCTCCCTGAGACTTAAGCATCACTTTAACCTCACCACACAAACGTGTCTCCGTCTTTATAAGCTCCTTAAGCTGTTTGTCCAAAGATCTGTTCAAAGCAACAGAACTTTATTTAAATTTCTATTAAGTTTCATAAGATACAGAATACATCTGCTGGAGGATCCATAAACAACACGGAAATACCTGAAATATCTCAACTATTACAGAACTCATGTATGTTTATGGACAGTTTTACGTTTCTACATTAATGAACAAAATCATTTTGATCAGTTCCCACTGAACCGAATCATCTTCCAGGAGTTCTTAATGACGATATCAGACAGAACTGATAGTTTCAAAATTCATCTTCTAGAAAATGAAAAATCTCATCACTGTACAGATATTTATCAACCCCAACAATAAATGTTTACTGATCATCAACCGTCTGTATGTAGATATCACATATATATATATATATATATATATACACACCAGACTTCTCTGAGACTTTCACTCATGGAAAAAATAGACTAGACACCAGAAAGATTGATGCAACTGTGCAGTTTATCCTGCCAACAGTCGAGTTTCAAATTAAATATGCACATAAGTTTATCTGAGGGAGGAGCTAAAAAACAATACACATATTCCATGACAACAGAGATTATTTCCAGGATATTTAATAACGTTAATCAATTTCCAGGTGTTTCCATCCCTCTGTCATTTCCACTCTGAGCTCCATATGTCTGTTCTTGTACTGTGTATCTATGTCACTGAGTTTGGTGAAACTGGATCATATTTTATGGAGACATGTAGCTGCTGTTAACTAGTTAGCTTAGCTCTATTGCAATGGATGGCAGTAGACGGAGCTTTGGACCGACGGGATGAGAAAGTCCTCTGTCGGGCTCAGCAGCTTCTATAGACAGAGCTAATGTCAGAGGATCAGAGGATGCTGACGGAGGAAGTTAGGAAGAGAAAAGAAAGAGAACCCAAGAGTGAATGTGGGACTGACTTTTAAGGGTTGAACTTGAGTGAGCTGGACTTCTGGCTGTTGGGCCAGTCAGTAATATCAACTTCTTGCTTGTTAGATGTTTGGCTGCGTTAGCAAAATTGTCGATTCGCTAGTTCTTGATCATAGTAATGTAATCATAACAAAAGTACAGCTGTCCATATTTACCACAGTGGGATTTGACTTGAAAAGTGGGGACATTATTGATCTGTGATAACAGCTGGATTTACTGAGGAGGGTCAGTCAGTCCTGTAGAAACTACAGAAACTGAACTGAAACTTCGATTTGAACTAACAGCAATGAAATTACTCAAATGTGACTAAAGCTACATTTTCAGAAAAAGAGTGAAATCAGGAGCAGAAGTTAACTGTGTGCAGCAGATAGAAGACAATTAGAAGTTAATTGTGTGCTGTAGAGACTTTATAAAGATAAAGTTGTTGTTACCTGCAGACGACCCCACAGATTCTCAACTGTTTGCAGTTTTTCTGATGAATAAAGGAGCCGCAGTGAAGCTTCAGCTGGCTGACAGTCAGAAAGGCTTCCAGCGTTTAAAACGCCAACATGCAGAAACTCCTTACTGTCCCAGATAACACACACACACACAAGTTCATGTACAGCTACACTTGTGAGGACTCAAGTTCACAAATACATGAATGAACTTTAACTGAACTTTAACCTCAACCCCACGTCTAAACCCTCAAACAGCTCCTACAAAAAGTGAGGTTGGGACAAAATGCCCTTCTCAACAATGTCCTCACTTCCCAGGTGTAAACTCAACTTGGTCCTCACAAAGACAGAAACAAGAGCGCACACACCGGCTCTGTCAGGTGACAAATATCATTTCTAACACACTTATTATCACATTATCTTTTATTATCTGTGCTTATGGCGAACTACAGGAACCAGAAGCACCCGATGATGTATCACACAACCTGTTACGCTAACAAGCTCGTTAAGTGAGTTAATTAATGCACTGATTAGCAAATGTTCCCATGTGAGCAGAAGTATCCCGGCCTGACCTGCCACTGCTGATCGTATCAACTGTACATCTTAATGCGTCGCAGAGTTTTTCTCTTGTTTTTTCCTCATAAAAATGCTAATTTATGCAGCAACAGACTCAAAGTCTGAAGATTCACTTGTGTGTGAGCGTTTTCGGATTTAATTTGACATTTTTTGCACAAAATATGGTGAAACAGTAAAAGCTCTCATCTCGTATCCAGAATGATATAAAAAGTGTGTTTGTGTCGTCAAGTTCAAGCAGGTCTTTAACCTCACTTTTCCTGTAGGATCTCTGCATCGCCTCGAGGCAAACTGGGAAAACTCCAACATGCTCTGAACTAACAGTTGGACGTGTCTCAGGAATCTTTTCATGGATTGAACTCGTACACTGAAACATTTTCCTGTTTGTGAGTCTGAGAGCAACAAAAGAAAGAAATGAAGACAGAAATGATTTCCAGAGGATTATTTTGATCTTTCGGGTCATTTTGTTCTTTGTGAAAGAACTTTCATTAAAGCAGAAATAATTTGTCTCCTCTCAGCTTGCACACAGGAAGCAGGTCAGACTGTCAGAATAAAATCTAGTTTGTTTATATGAACATAATGTGCATTGTTATAGTCAAAGATAATTATAAAACAAATAAAAAAACACAAAATATATTCTTCATTCACTCCTGAATCTACTGCAGCTTTTATGGTGAAACCCTCTAGAATAACTTAATTAAAAAACCTCTATGAATAAAGTAGATTTTAAGGGTTAAATCTGTCCCCTTCATTTGCAAATTAATTTTAGAAATGAACAAATTATGAATTGAAAGTGTTTTTATGGTGGATTTTGTGGCAATGTAATAAATATTCAGGTATTTAATCATCAGATGTGGCTTAAATTAAAGGACTGTATTATGGTTTTTAATGGATTTCTGCATAAATTATTGGGGTTTACAGGGTATCAAACACTCTTAAAGTGTCCCTAATTCATGTGGAGAAGCTATTAAAATCTAAAAAACATTAATTTATAGCTCTGTGTGAATCTTTTCATTTTATTGTTGCAGTTGGGAAACCAGTTTGCTTCTGTTTCTCCAGAACAAACAGAAAAACTTTCCACACGGCAACAATGTTATAAATTAAATTAAACAATCACAAATAACGGACGTTGAATTGTGAAAAATAATATTCGTTAAAAGATGCAACACCTAACTGTCCCAGATAACACACACATTCACGTACATCTACACTTGTGAGGACTCTTTACAAAACACATTCCTCAGCCTCCAATTTTAACTGAAAATGAGCCGAGACGAGCAAATAATTCAACAAAAACATTATGTTAACGATGGCAGAAAGTTCACAACCAAACTCGGTGCAGAGAGAGTAAAAGCACCAAAAACAGCACAGAATCATAAGAGGAGGTTGTGCAGGTGAAGCATCAAGATCCTGTTAAAGAACTGTATTCACATCATTATTAACAGGAACATTCCTGTAATTTTAAGACAAAAGAAGAGTTTCATGATGGAAATATTAAAGAAAAAGACAAAAAGGAGATGAAAATGACTCCTTACCTTGAATTCAGGACTGTCCAATCACAGGCAGCTGCACAGGAGAGCCAATCAGTGAAGGAGAAATGTCCAAATCCAGGAAGAGAAGGCGAAGAAGTCCAAATGTTGCTCTGGTCTGGATTAAGTCCTCTGTTTATAAATCTGCTGCAGAGAAAAGAAGAGATTGAGTGAGGAGTGCAGCAGGTGAGGAGGCTTTCATCTCTATCCAAATGCATTGTGGGACAAGCGCAGGTTTCCCTGAGAACTGGGACACGGAGAGATCAGACTACAGCAGACTGGAAGATCAGGTTTATATCTCACACACACACACACACACACACACACACACACACACACACACACACACTGGATATTTGTGCTTTTGTTAACTTTGAATATGATTTTTACAGTTTAGTCTGTAGTTTTGCAGCATTTTAACATTTCAAAGGTTTACAAGTTTTGTAAAGAAAAATAAACTTTCTATGGAGGCCCCAGAGTGCCAAAAGCGCCCTTTATTTTGATTACTGAGTTACATTTTGTGCAACAGTTATTAAAGTCCGGCAAGGCAAAACCTCCTTAAGAAAAACATCAATTTATATATGAAGATAATCTTTCATAATAATTCTTGTATCATAAACTGTAAAAACTTTAAACTCTTATACTTTAAACAGATTTTACTACAACTAAAACTGTCTGCTGTTTGGTTTAAACCTGTAATACTGAATGTCAATCTTTATATTTAAGGCATTATTTATTATATCTTTGTAAAGGACATGCAGCTTTAATTGTTTCATCTTGAAGAGTTAAATTTGAGTATTTTGCTGTCATAATAATACAAAAAGGTGTGTATTTAAATAAAAGAATGTTTAAAATAAATTAAATAGAAACATTAAGTGTAGGTGTGACTTATTTGTATACATTTTGTTTTCAAATCCTAGATAAAGAATAAAGTACTGAATGTGTTTTTATTGCAGTTTTGGCTCCTGCCACACCGGAGCTTACTTAGCTAACTGCATGAGCTAACTAGCTAACAGCATCTAACATTACTGTTACAAAAAATACAAAGGAACTGAGTTTTTGTGAATGTTTTTGTCATAGATTGTTCAATAGAGAAACAATATAACTGAGGATTAAACAGTTAAAGGACTTTAAATGTGTGAATGTTTCCTCTCAGTGAAACTAAAAACCAGCAGCAGTGAAAGTTGTGTGTGAGTTCTTCTTCTTCACAGCAGTCAACAGCAGCTTTAATATTTCTGACAGTTGCTGTGTTTCCTCGCCGCCGCCTGTCAGTCAGAGCTCGCTGTGGCTCAGATGATTCGCTGTGAAATGGACGGACGGCGTGCGTGATGATGGATCTCGTGTATTCCCGCCACACGCTCCGTGTGCCTCTTTGAAGTCCGAGACGTGCAGACGAAGAGCAGAAAATTAATGCGGCCAAGTGAAGAATCAAACAACGGCGTCCATCAGGATTCAGGCCTGAAGCTTTAAAGTCGGACACGTTGGAATACATATATACAGCCTTCAGTAAACTCACATTAGCAACAGTCATTGTGTCTTTAAGGCATTTTTTATTGTCAATTAAGGTTGTAGAATGAATTTTAGGTAGAGTTCCCTTTATGCTACTAGGAATTGTCTTTTTTAATAATTAATGAGAAAAATTATTAATTTGTACTGTAAAAAAAACTATTAAAAGAACTGTAAATAAAACTAATATTCCAGCAGCTGGGCACCAAAACATACTGTTAAATAAAAAAATTATACGTATTTTACTGCTAATTTTACATTATTTAATCACAGATAAGAAAACAATAATCTGAATTATCTGTAATAAAAGTCATTATGTGTGAAATTAATAATTTCTTCGCTGCTATTTATTGTTTTAAACAGTTAAATTCAAGTTTAATACTGTTGTGTGTGTAATTTTACACCATACAACAATTTATCAGTGTATAAGCATTGGTAAACTGTCAAAATACAGTTTCTAATCAGTGAAAACAGCAATTATTACTGTATTTCACTGATAATGACTTTTATTACAGTTCTGTAACTTTTAATAAATAATAACAGCAATCTGCTGTAAATTTAAGCTGATTGTTTGTATTATAGCAGCCTGTATTTATAGCTGTATGTACAGCATTGTTTGTACAGTGTAAATATCTTTAATTCAACATTGCATCATGGTGCGTCTGTATGAGCAGTTCCAGTCTTTAGATCGATCCTCCGTCCACAGAGACTGAATAGAGACTAAAGGTTACTGCTGGAGGAGGAGCAGAGAGACGAGCGACAGACTGCAGATGTTGACCCAGTACGAGTCTGATTTCCTTCACAATCTTCTTGTTCGTGTTTTCTCTCTTTACATATTTCACTAATTTCACACTGCTTGCATTATATTTCACTCACCAGACGTTTGTTCCGGGTCTCCTCTCTAATTAGCTGCTTAATTGGAAAATGAAGGCTTTGCTGTTTGTTTCGCAGCTCGCGGCAGTTTGAAAAGTCAAGAAAAGAGTCTGAGAAAAGGAGAATTGTTACTCTTTGTGTTGAGAATATACAGACGAGAGCAGCCCATCCATAAAATGAAAGCAGTCACAGAATCTGAGGTTTTTGCTAATTTAATAGCATAAAATTAGAATAGTGCTTTTTAGCTATTAGGAGCCCAGCAAGGCAAACAGTTACGCTGGGTCATTTCTAATCATCAATCTGAGTCGTTATATAGAAAAAATAAAGGAATAGTTATTGATGAGTGTCCTGAAAGATACAGCTACCTTATTGAATCTCATATTTCTGCCGTCTGTCCAATGTGACGTTACTATAAACTAATTCCATGGCTTGTGTTTATTAATCAACCCTTTACTACGAGACCGAGAATAAAGAATAAGAATAAAACAGGAGGGTTTATCTCCACTTCCTGTTACTTTCTGCTGTTTACAAGGTTCATTATTAGAAGGTAGGTCAGCTCAGTTTATGGGAATTATTAAGGTTCAAATCCCCTCTGCTCCACACTGTCACACCAAACTCCATTCAAAAAATGTCTGTTTTAAGGAAGTAAAACCTTTATTTCCACCATCAGTGAGACTCTGATTCTCTTCAATCCACAGACACAATCTGCTCACATTGACTCAGTAACATCATTAACTAACCTGTGAGGAAGAGTTGGACACAGAACAGTATTTTAAATATGCACTGATTGTCGATGAAGACCTGAATGATTCTTACACACAGAACTAAAATGTGCGTCATACGTTGACCCCGAACTCGCCTTTAAGCCCCACATTGATTTGACATTATAAAAAGAACATGTGGTCGCCTCATTTCACGTTATCGGTCAATTCACTGCTCAGAAGAATAATAATTTATCAGCTGATACGACCTATTATTGATTATGCTGACAATGTCTGTCAGAACACTTCTAAATATGTATCTCAAACCCTTTAAGGCTTTATATAATAAAATAATAAAATAAAAGTAACATGACCACCGCCGACTACGTGACATATTTTATGTGTATTTCCTATTTTATTCAACACATACAAACACAAACAAGATTTGAATGAATTTTGATTGTTTCCTGTGAATATTGATCACAGATGAGTTTTTCTGATATTTTCAGGATTTCTTTTAACAATTCTCATTCTTCATTGTTTTGAACAATCATACATATACACATACAAACAGGCTTCTTTTATTGACAAATGTAGTGTTTTCTTGTCCCTGTTGGACCGTTGTTGTAATGCAGGATGAGGCAGTTTGAAGTCTCTGTGAATAATGAAACTTTCTATCTTAAATAAAAATGTAAACTTAACCAACTTAAAATAATTAAATTTTCTTCACATAAATGAACTAAATGCTGAGATATATTCCTACTGTATTTTTATAGTCTTCTTACATGCCTTACAAGGCCTCGCGACGCCCTGTGAGTGAACCACTGCTTCAATGTATGAATCACCTGACTGGTTGCAGCCCAGATACAGAAGATAATGTCAGATGTCTTTATTTTATCTGAAACATGTTGATCTTCATATCCAGTTAGACACATGCAGCCTCTTTTTCCAGACATTTCAAAATAAAGCTCCATCTGACAGCAATAATCTTCCACTATTTATCTTTTCTCACCTGAAAACAACTTTTATGCTTTTAGTTTTTATTTACTTAATAATCTTCAGTACTCTTTGTTTCTTATCCAGTTTTCTTTCTGTTGAGTAGTGTTGGGAGTGTGGGAGGGAAGGGGTGAGCAAGTTGTCTGTATCTGTGTATCTGCAGTCTATGTTGGTTATGTAATGCAGTTTTTGTTTGATGCTGCATCTCAAGGGATTATCCTTTCAATAACCTCAAATAAAAGTCTTGGAGGAAAATAGAGATTTTAATAGTGTTTGTTTACTTTCACCACCAACGCTGCTGCATTACCAATATTTATTAAGGTATATATTAGCATTATAATTAAGGCCCAAATATGTTTGTGTATGTATGCTATTATTATTTTATTCCCCAATGAAACACATTTTTGGAGGCAGCAACAGGCTTGAAAACTTGCGGTCGCAAAGTTCAAAGGTCGCAGTAAGTTACGTATTCTGTGGGTCTCTCACACGCAGGCAAGTTTTACCGATCTGTATGAAAATCAATATGCACATGTATAGATGTCCAGACAAACAAAAAAGCCTCTTTGGCCCCAAACCCAACAGGAAGTCCTTTTTTTTTTTACTTCGTGGTCATTTTGGCAATTTTGTGCATTGTATTTTAACGAACTCCTCCTAGGGAATTGATCGGATTGGCTTCAGATTTCGTCATTGCGATCTAAACACCACCGCGATTAAAATATGTGCTCTTTGTGTCGGCGGTTGTCTCCGTGGCTTGGGCGTCAAATTTTAAACGCGTCTATAAGCCAATATTCAGACATAGTCATAGCGCCTTCTACTGGAAACAGGAAGTGAGGCTTGTGTGGCAATTTTTGTAGATTTCTGAGCTCAAATGTCTCTTTTGAAATTAAAGGTTGCTGACCCCCACAGTAGGAACAAAAGGGGGTGTGGTCGTTCTGAACACAGAAAGTGACGTGTGCCTGCTCTCATACATAAATCGACCTGTAACAAGATGGTATTATTGCTTTTACTGAAGTAAAGGATGAATACCTCCGCCACCATGGAGATGCTGTCACAGCTTCCATACTTCAGCTTTCTGTTGGTACATCTGATCCCGTTTGCTCTTGTTTGTCATTAATGAACTTTTTCACAGTCGGCGGCTCGGAGGCAAAACTCCAGCAGCAGTAAATAAAACAACGGACCGCACATGGGAACGCTCCATTGCTCACTCTGATCCGCGCGCCGCTTATTCATTTTAAATCACAGCCGACGCTCGGCGAGTCTCCACACGCCATTACCCAGCAGCCCCCGCGGCGCGGCTCTGACAGGAGGACTCACACAGAGAACGGGGTCGACTCATTAACCGCCCGGAAGCTGGTTCGTGATCTCGTGCTGAAATTCACACAACAGACGGAACGAGACCAAGTCTATTTGTCTCCATTAACATCTGGTTATAAACACACACACACACACACACACACACACACACACACACACACACACACACACACACAGCTTCCTGTTGACTTTCTGATTGGTTCGAGCTTCCTGAGCTTTCAACCACTGTGAGGACAACCTTCACACTGAGTCTCTCTGAAGTCTGCAGCAAGAGATCTGGATTTTAGTCGATACACTTTTGATTTGTCGAGTTCAGACTGAAAATCTGTTACAACCATTATGTTAATCTCAGATTCAAATATATATAAATAGTTATAGTTACTTCTCTCATAAGAAACTGAATTATGTTATCAATTAAAGCTGCGAGCAGCAACAAACTGGCCCTCGTGTGTCGACCACACGGACAAAATTTCACTTATGATGTTTTTCATCAACAACTTTCACTCCAGTAGGTGGTGCTACAACTATGACTAAATATTGTGTTCAGGGCCGGACTGACATCAGACAGGAAGCTTGGACACTGAAGTTATGACAACTTCCTGTTTAATGACGAAACATCGAAATTAGCCACACCACGGGCACGCCGTTGCACACATTGTAATCGTGATGCTCTTCAAATCTGAAGTCAATCCAATCAATTCCCTAAGAGGAGTTTGTTAAAATACAACACATGCAAATCTCCAGAAATTACCACTTAATTCAAATGGCCGACTTCCTGTGGGGTTCGGGGTTTGTGAGATAGAATACGTACATTAACGCCACACAGCATCCAAAAATATGATCCTGCTGGCAGAATAATAATCATTCCTTACATTTCAATACGGTCACTGCTGAAAAAGTCAAAAAGTAATTCCCGGGAGGAAGTGGTAATATTTAGACTTGGTGGAGAACCAAGAGGGAGCAGCTGAAACTGAACTCTGATGCACCAAAACGCCGTCGGCGAGCGGCTCAATGAACCAATAAAGACTCGCTCATCAGTGCTGAATACAGAACGCCGTCATTATGTGTGCAAATGAAGCTATTATCTGACTGCACTCCGGATAAGTCACTCATGTTCTGCTCTCTACACTTTTTCAGGTCTCCTGAGGCAGCAGTGGCAATGGTGGCGCCCGGAGGCCAGCGAGCGGTTCTGAAAGGGACAGTCAGTTCAGTCATATCATGGCAGAGGCCTTGGAGGGGAGCGGCTCTGCAGCTGTCAGTGGGAATAAAACAGAAGAGAGTTTGGGTGGCAAGGAGGAGAGTTGAGGGTGGTGGCGGCCGGCAGGTTCCAGCTAATGAGGCGAGAACAGCTTCAGAGGGCAAGAGCGAGGAAGCTGGGCAGCGAGGGAGAAAATGAAAGAAAGAGAGAGAACGACAGAGGAGAATAATAAAAGAGTCGGAGAAGTGGCGGCGCGAAGCGTGCAGAGGTGATGCACACCCAGAGGGAACCCTCCTGCTTCATGCAAACGTCGGTCCAATCAGATTCCACTGCGATTTGGTCGGTGGCGTGCGGCAGGGGAAATCAGCCACTTCCAGTTAAAGCTCCCAGAGCTCCTCAACCTTCGTGTTTGTTTCGGAGGAAAAAAGATGTCCTGCTTTACATGGAAACATCCAGCAGCAAATCAAACTCTACAATGTGATTGTTTCAAGGTTTAAAATGCTTTTCTTCAGGAGGAACAAAGCGCAGTAAAAACAGCTGATTAAAGACAGGAAGTACAAAGCCCTCAGGAGCTCTTCACTTTAGAGAACTTCTGCATGCGGCACAGAGAGAACATGGTCTACTACGTGTCTTATTATCATCAGAACAAAAAGTTTTATCACTTCACAGAAACTTTGCTGTGAACCTGTGAGCAGGTTTTTGGAGAAGCGGATGCAGACAGTCTCATTTGAGAGTTAATGTGAATGAATTAAGATGCTCTGAGACCCGATCGCTCAGAACCACATTCAGAGGTCTGAGATCTGGAAATTCTGTTGATTGTGAACAAGAATGTGTCGTGTAGGAATGGTTAGACTCATCGATTACACCAATTATAAAGTCAAAATGTATATTTTTATCTCTGTATTGTGCTGTCATCTCCAGTTTCTGTCCAACAGGGACAGGAAGTTCTGTTTCCGGTATTCTTTATGATATTTTAAAGTTTCATGAAAAACAATAAAAGTAGTTGATGACTAATCCTGCACTCGTACAATAATTTTGCATCCATCTCTTATGCCACTGGTGGAGTGTCTCTTTGGGCCGATGTGTTACAGACATCTATCATAAATCCCATTCTGGTCGGACTCTAACACCTTCTAATGCCAGGAAGCATTGGCAGTATATAGAACGGACAGAGCTTCCAGGAAGTGTCTTAAACCTGCAGATAGTATTGAGTCTTATGGAGAAGTTGATTTATTAGCTCAGTAAACAGTTTCCTGGTGAGTTTATGGTCTCAGTCTCTAGTTTCAGTCTTCATCCATACAGCATGATGTTCATTTAGTAAATGATGGTCCCATTTAGAGTAAAATAGACCATAAAGCAGGCAAATATAAAAAAATAACACACTAAAGAAATACACTTAAAACAGATCAAATCTGTTTCACCTCCGCTGGCTCCGACTAACTGTCATGGCAATGATCATAACGGCAAACTGGAGGCTTCAGAACTGACACTTAAAGGTAGGTTGCATATTAATCAGTGAACACGACTTTTGTTGTTACTATTCAGCCCTGAAAATGAATCCTTCAGTCTACTGTTTATATTAAAGTCCATTTCAACATCTGCCTTTAAAACTAAACAATTAATCAAAACATTATCTAAACAAATGATCACAATATGCACAGCTGCAATTTATTGATAAAGGTAACATGAGTGAGAACACAGCATCATATTGAAGTCCTGTAGTTCAGAATAGACATCCTGGTTTCACATCCATACATACAAAACACATTCAGGATCCAGCAGACTGGATCTGATCCAGCACGCGGTCCTGCTTCACGCTCACACCCTCTGCAGACTCGGCGGGTTAATAAGTGTAAATCCGCAGCCGCTTCTTTCAGGAAAACTGTCACATCTGTCACCACATGCACATCCACCACAGCGGCGTTAAACCCTCAGAGCGCGCTCTGCACACGCTCAGAATACGCTCTGCATGCTGCTGCAGCTTTACATCTGACGGCTGACCTTTGGCATGTATCACACATCTCCGTCTCTCGCCTCACATGGAAGACGCTTCCCGTGAGCCCCCGTACGGCTGAATGGAAAGCGTCATGTGACCTGCTGCGAGGGGGAACGTGAGAATGAACTGTTAATGAATGTGTAAATGTCTCAGTCAGACTGCGAGCAGCTTGTTGTGTGTAAGACGTTCAGATAAGACGTAAGATGTTCAAAAACGTTGGTGCAGTTTGTAGAACGACTCTCATGCACTCGGCTGTTAGCGTGCTAGCTAACCAGCAGAAGCAGCATGTTTAATGGAGTTTAAATAATCTAACAGCTTTTGCAAATTTATGACTTTTATGAGTTTCCAATAGTTGTCGTATACACTTTAAAAGGACTGTTATCTTTTAAGGTAACTCATTTTGTGAAGGAAATTCAGACTTTTTACCTGATTTTATTAATAATGAGCCAATAAACAGCTTTGATTATCATGAATACAATATGACAATATGTTTCCTGCAGTAAAGAAAAACAGGTAAATCTGCAGTTTATTGACACTGAGAGAAGATTAGGACTAAATGTGTAAATCCACACATTGTTCCGTATATACAGTGTGTTTGTGTGTGAATCTAACAGTGGAGAACTTTAAAATCTAAAAAAAGAAGAATAATAGAAAAAGTTATTATTATTATTATTATTATTATTATTATTATTATTATTATCATCATTAACTTTGTTGTGACCACTGCAGGCCTTCATATTAGTGGATGAAGCCAAGTTACTTCTGAATTGCAGGTAAATCAGAATTAATTCTCAAATAAATTGATTGTTTGCAATATTTGTATCACAGATAAATTATATAATATTGAACATTATCTTTAAATTAATTTTTTTAAAAGAAAAGTAGTTTTTGCAGTAAACAAACACTCATTATTATTTATGCTAAAGACCTAAGAAGAAAATGTTTTATGCTAGTCCCCTCTTGGTAGCGTAGACTGACAGTCCACTGTTGGTAATAAAATTGTGTATGTGTGTGTGTGTGTGTGTGTGTGTGTGTGTGTGTGTGTGTGTGTTATACGGCAGCGGTTTTCAACCTTTTTCCTTTAGGGACCCTTTTTCTATCATTGAGTTAAGTGACATATTTATTTAATATATTCAATAATAACAATAACAGCAGAGAACAGCTGATAATCTGAACAATGAATCCTATCAGTGAACACATTAACTGCAGGAAGTTTGTGTAATACAAGTTATTTGGATGAATTTTGAGCAGATTATTAAATATTTCATCAGGGTTTTATACAATTCTCTGTATTGTGTATTTAATTGACTTAATAAGCATCTTTTTAGACAAATCTAGTGTTTTCTTTTATCTGATGCTTTGCCATTTTGTGCTAGCGCTTCGGTCTTCTGTGTAGATTTTTAAAGTTTCTTGCAGCCCATAAAATCAAGAAGGCCATGCGACCCCCACATAAAGCCTTAGTGACCCCTAGAGGGGGTCCCGACCCCCAGGTTGGCAACCACTGTTGTGCACAGTGAATGAAGTGAGTTTGAATGACCGAAAGAAGGTCACAAAATGAATCTTCCGGATAAAACGGATAAAGTTACGAGACAGATGACATGAGCAGAGGGGTTGCTCAGTGAAACAACACACACACACACACACACACACACACACACACACACACACACACACACACACACACACACACACACACACAGCTTGAGTGTGAAATGTGCTGCAGCCGAGCTGCACATGTTTGGCAGCAAGTTGATCCTGGTAGCCTGGAGGTCAGCCAGCACACGCATGCACGCACGCACGCACGCACGCACGCACGCACACACGCACACACACACACACGCACACACGCACGCACACAAGCACGCACACAGTTTAATGGGTTTTATGCTTTGGATGTGAGATTCATGCATTCCTGACACACTGCACGTCGAGCCAACGTTGAAACAAACACAGGTGGCTGCTGACGGAAAACAGAGCGACTGCGAGACGCCACGAACCGGAACGCTTCACATTCCTGAACCTCAAAAAATAAAAAGTCTTTATCAGTCGGAGACACGTCGGATCGTCTCTGCGAGCGCTCAGCCGTGAACAGCAGGTAATGATCCTCCGCCCTCGCAGGGGGACGTACGTTGGACCTGCTTGCTGTACTGTGGCTGATTAACATGGACGCCCAGGATCCGTTTCCAGAAGCTGCTGACGAAGCTGAACAAACTGACAGGAAGGATAGAAGAAGAATACTAAAACTATCTTCCTCTCAAAGTGAGGCGGAAAATGAACCCGATTCCACATCCGCAGGGAATCAAACCCCTAACCCCAGAAGTGAAAGGCCACATTCACTCTGACATCAAAGGAATAGTTCATCATTTTTTAGTAATAATCTGATTTCTTTCCGAGAACGTCGACAGCTCGACACTCTTTAATCAATACTGACATACACAGAGGAACATCTACTCACGATCAATATCTACACTGTCTTTATTCAAAAAACATCTGGAAATGAAAAGAACACTTCTCAATATAATAATTTTATTTTATCTGCTAAAACAACTGTACATTTCTATCACTCTTGTTTTCATCTGTTTTTCTCTTTTTAAAGTCTGATTATATTTATAAAGCGGAGGAATCTTCATTAGACATCTTTGGCTCCTGCACATTGTTCAATTTTTTTTAAATGACCATATATATATTTATACACACCGCATTTGCAAATAAATGAATAAAGTAGACAGAAGCTGGAAAGCCAGTTAGCTTAAACAGGGAGAAATAAGTGAATATTACAAAGAACTTACTGGTCCCATCAAGAAACTAGTCCAGCGACCCACAAAAAGTCAGAGCAAGAAGTTTCCTGAATTGTAATAAAGAATCTTAGTTAGTGACAATCTTCCCAATATGGATTATTGTTCATAAGACAACCGCGGCATTTTAAACAAATGGTTCATTAAAAATTCCTGATTCCTCGAGAAATTGTTGCTATCTCCAACAACAGCTCCTCCAGCTCTCTAATTACCTGAAAAAGTTTTCGATGCCTGATTTAAAGTTTCATCATACCTGGAGGGTTCAGCATCCGGGCTAGCTGCAGGCATGCTAACACTAGCTGTGGCTGCTGCGGGTACTTTGCTTTCTGGCTATCAAACACGATAACGTTACACTCTCAGATGTGCTCTCAGGTACCAGAATTCGGCACAGATTTAACATGAATCGATACTTGGTAGTACAGACGTAATTCAGTCAGTACCCTTAAAAGAGTTCGGTACCTGGTCCTATTTGTTACACACAGAACACAAAAAGGAAAGTAAATGTGAGTAAACTCAACCTCAAAGCAGCAAGTAGACATTATTAGTCCATATTAGTTTGATAATTGATTACAATTACATAATTTTTCTGCAGTCAGTTTCAGCTGCGAACTGAAACAAACACAAAAGGAGGTGTGAAGCTGTCAGAGACTGATGGAGATGGTCGCTGCCGCCGCCTCCGTCAGCCTCTGGATTCCTTCGCCGCATGTAAAGGTCAGACAAATGAAATCAAAGAGAGCCGCAGGACACGTGTCCGAGGTCGGCCGCCGGCTCGCTCCAAAGAAATTTCATCTATCTTCATTTCACAGACGCAATTTACCAGAAACCCCAGTGACACTCTGCAGGGCGAGAGAGCATATGAGAGAGAGGGGGAGAGAGAGAGGAGGTCTGTGCAGGGGAGCAGAACGAATACAAAAACAGACAGAAATAAAAGAGGAAAGTGAGGACGGACGTCTGTGTGAGAGCAGACAGTCTCTACCAGCACAAACACTCAGAAAGGTTGCAGAAATATTCTGTTGGTACACACACACACACACATCACTGACCAACATCTGTCTGTATGTAGTGCTAACAGTGGATAATGGCTAACCTGGCTTGTTTGTTTTTCCAACTGGTTGTACTGGAACACGTTTATCATTCCCAACTAACTGTAGCGTATCACATGTACACCACGCCGTGCAAATTGTACGTAAATCAGATGAGGATTCCCATATATGGCTAACTTC